ACTTTTCTCTTTTTTTTCAGCTGCCTCAAACAATTCTTCTCATTTCTATTAAAAAGTCACTTTTATCCCTTACTTTTTCATACCCTACCTATCACATCATACCTTTTTACTAATAATCTATCCATGAAATCATACTTTTACCCATCACATCAAAGGACATTTTTGGAAATTCAATACTCCCTCCTTCCCTAAATATTCACAACATTTACTTTTTCAGCAGTCGCGGAAACTTTTGTTTATTTCGACGTTTTCATTGGTTATATTTGATAAAATAAAATATTCTTGACACCTCTTATTTCGAAGAACTTTTCATGTAGTTTTTTTATATGTAAATTTTATTTTTTATTTCTATACCAATATGTAAATAAAATGAATAGAAAAAACTTGATATTTTGCCTCGGGAATACAAATGTGCAGCAAATAATTTGGGACGGAGGGAGTAGTCGGAGTACCAAAATACACTCCCCTTAAATCTCTCTTCAAAATCAAAACTCCCATGTTTTCCGAGACAGAGGGAGTATTATTGTGTAAAAATAGTATTTTTTTTGTTAATTCCCTCTTCATTATTTATGGTTAAGTTTTAAAATATTTTCATTTCCTTCTTCTCTATGTCTCTCCGATGGAGTCAAAGAATCATTATTATTTTTTACTTGCAGGTATTATTGAATAAAACAAAATGGACCTTTTAAATTGTATGGGTTTCTCTTATAATTATAAAATAGTAGTAACTAGTTGATGTAACTTTTGTCACTCATCAAGAGTTTTTTGTAACAGTCGCTTCATGTTTTAAATAAAAGGGTTAAATTGTATACATTCAACCCACAAAGGTGGGAGTCTAGAAGCCAGCACTAGAACAAAATTCTTATTTAATTTAGGTCTTGTTTGGAATTTAGCTGTTGGTTGTTGGCTGATAGCTAGCTCTTTGCGTTGGCTCATTAGGATGGCTGATTGAGTAGGCTGCTTTGACCAATCAGTTACGGAGTATATTAAATGTTGATAAAAAATGTTTGGCAAAATTAGTTTTTATAAATTAAATTTAATGTAATAAAATTTTCACCTATATAATTATATGAAATAACATGCTTTGCAATATATATTCCTTCTTTCCTCAAATAAATGTTTAAGCTATATATTGTTCTAAAGTCATTATGATTTTATTTATTTATGAGTTTTTATCGATCAATTGATAGAATAATATAATTGTATCATCTTTTGTTTTGAAGAATTTTTGTGTGGTTTTTAAATATATAATTTGTTTATTTCTACATACACCAGATTCTAAAAAAAATCAAAAAATATATTTTTTTCTCGCAAATCCCTTCATGAATTTCTCGCAAATCCCTTCATAAATATATTTAGTTATTTATTTATTTTTAAATTTTTTATTTATATTTTTATTTATTTATTTATTTATCAAATTTTGATTTAATTATGCAAAAAATAATTATTCTTTATCTCTTCATAAAAACTACATAAAATAAAGAATAATAATAAAAATTCTGTTTTCCAACATTCAAACTGAAATGCTACTCCCCGTAGTTTTTTTAATTTTGGAGTTTTGTTCTGAAACAGCCAACCCTTGCAGGAGTTGCAGCCAACTACCAAACACCCTTTTTGACTGTTTGACCATTCAAATCTGCTAAAATTGATCAAAACAACCAGAAGCCATCCTAAATGCCAGAAACCAAACATGCACTTAATCTACATCAATGATTTGATAAAATAGAAGAATTATGTCACTTTTTGTTGTAAATACCATTTCCAAATTTAACACTAATTTTTACATACATCAACTTGAAATTAGTATCGTCGGACAATTTCATAAGCACTGGGCTAAATGAAAAAATAAGGCCTTTAATTAGATAAAATTTCACTTTAAGATAAGTAATTTTAGAATAACTTAGGTCATAGTAAAAAACCACCGAACTGGTCAAACTAAGGGTCAAGTAAGACTAAGGGAGAGTGGAGAGCGAGAAAGTGCAATATAAGAGTTATTATAAATATTAGTATTAGTTAATTTCTAAAAATAAAAATAATTTTTTCGGTATAAAATATACTCCCTCCGTCCTAATATAAGACTCATGTTCAGTTTACGATGTTTGACTGAAGTTATTTTTAAATTAGTATAAGTAAAAATTGGTGTAGAATTAAAGAATAAAATTTATATATTAAAACCACATCAAAAGTTCTACAAAATAAGTGATAACAAGGTTATTTTATTTTATCAAATGATCGATAAAAGTGTATAAAGAAAGTGGAGTTATTTTGACATGTGAATAGTAATTAAGAGTCTTTTTGGAATGGAGGGGGTAAATATTTATTTTAAATTTTTTTTAAAGTAGATAAAATACAAATACAAACATGCCAACCAAAGAAAAAACATACATTCCATAATTAAGTTCTTTGGGCTTTCCCAATGTATTGGAAATTTGGAATGCATATTAAACCATTTTGCTTGCTTTGCTAAACAAAAATGAAGTGTAGCTCATTTGCTAAAACGTGGGCATTCATGCAAGGAGGTTAGGGGTTCGACTCTTTCTCGTGTTGGTTTTAAAATTTTAAAATTCAGAAAAACGTGGATTTAGCCCAAACCGGTGAACCGGCTAGGCCGACTCGGGTCCAACGGGTTTGGACGTGTTAATGAGAAAACATGTTTACTCTTTGAACAAGATCGGATTTGTGTCAGTGTGTGATAGGATTCCTGTCCAATCGCAATGAGTTGTCATCATGCATGCTAGTACAAGTCCCAAAAGTCTTCTCAGGTGGTTTCTCGAAGGGACGTCCTAATCATTAGATGATCTGACCGTGTCATGCCACTCGACCAGGCTGAACCCCACTCGGGTCGTGGGCAGATTCACCCAAACTGCCCTTGTGCGCATTGTTTGGGCCTTACTCGATTGGTCTCATTTTGTTCAATCATCATGCTGGGTCATTATTAGTTAGTACACCAAGTCCTGAAAATTCACCTGGGTGGTTTCCTGAAGGGACGTCTTGATCACTCGAGGATCCTTTCGGCAACACTATGATGTTTGACTAGTCGTCACCCACAGATTACCTGGGTAGACTCCGGGTGAATAGTAATTATGCTCTATTGACTCTATTGAATAGTAATTCTATTAAATAGTAATTGAATAATTGAATAAATAATTGAATAGTAGTAGGGTCTTAAATACCTTCCTTCGCTTCAAGTTGGTTCAAGAGCCCAGAGAGAAGCTTAAACTCCTTACGTTACTTTTTTCCTTTTCAGAGGGTCCATTTTGCTCTCCTGCTCTTCCCCAGCTCTTATTCCTTAGCTGGCAGCTGACCTTTCCCTTGGGGCTTAGCTCCTGGCTGGCCTAACCGGGTGAAGTATTGCGTATAGAAAGCAGAACGAAATTTGTGAGTCAGCCGCTATAAAGGATAACTCCAGATCTTTGTATGAATTTGGTCCGCTTTCAGGAACTTAAGTAACCTGGAAGTTTCCTTGATTTGCTACTTCGAACTTATCTCTTCAGTTCGACTCTTTCTCGTGTTGGTTTTAAAATTTTAAAATTCAGAAAAAAGTGGATTTAGCCCAAACCGGTGAACCGGCTGGGCCGACTCGGGTCACGATTTGCTAAGTCCAACGAGTTTGGACGTGTTAATGAGAAAACATGTTTACTCTTTGAACAAGATCGGATTTGTGTCAGTGTGTGATAGGATTCCTGTCCAATCGCAATGAGTTGTCATCATGCATGCTAGTACAAGTCCCAAAAGTCTTCTCAGGTGGTTTCTCGAAGGGACGTCCTAATCATTAGATGATCTGACCGTGTCATGCCACTCGACCAGGCTGAACCCCACTCGGGTCGTGGGCAGATTCACCCAAACTGCCCTTGTGCGCATTGTTTGGGCCTTACTCGATTGGTCTCATTTTGTTCAATCATCATGCTGGGTCATTATTAGTTAGTACACCAAGTCCTGAAAATTCACCTGGGTGGTTTCCTGAAGGGACGTCTTGATCACTCGAGGATCCTTTCGGCAACACTATGATGTTTGACTAGTCGTCACCCACAGATTACCCGGGTAGACTCCGGGTGAATAGAGTAGATTATCGCGCTAGGGTTGTTGTTGTTGTACAAGGTTTGAATCCACCCAGGTGGGTTGTGGTCCAAAGTTGCCTGGGTAAAGTGGGTGTGTTAAGAAACCAAATCAACCAAAAGCTCAAACTTGTGGTTGTGGCCCAGAAATGATTGCTATATACTCTAACACGCCCCCTCACATGCAGGCGTAACCTCTTTGAGCCTTGCACGTGAAACCTTAATTTTTTAAAACTAGGTGGCGCTGAGTTTCGAACTCGTGACCTCTTAGTCAACATGGCTTTGATACCATGTTAAGAAACCAATTCAACCAAAAGCTCAATCTTGTAGTTGTGGTCAAGGAATGATTGTTATATACTCTAAGAGGGTGTAAATCACTCATCACTACCTATGTCACCTCTGTTTAAATAAGTCTCACCCAGGTGAACTTCATAGGTTTCTGGTAGACTGGACCCAGATCATTGTCAGGGTTTAGATAAACCCATCGACACGTGTGTGCGTGTGTGTATGTATTGTTTACAACAGGGTTTTCAATTAGCATCTTGAATAAAATTCTAATGGTTTAAGTGTATATTCAGAAAACGCTATACTAACTTTCTAACACCTATACTAAACCAAGCCATATACTCTCTCCGTATGTATGAAGAGGGAGAAATAAACAAACGTAGCTAGGCATTGCCATCTATCTACTCCACTTAATATGATAGCAAATGCATATAAATACACATTTACTCCAATTTTAATAACCTGCAACCATATATCTTGGGATTTTTTCCATCAATTAATACATTTCCAGCCCCTCGATTCTCTCTCTCTTGCTCTCGTCTTCTACCATTCCATCCTTCAATTCCATTGAATTGAATGATCATTTCAATTCATCACTTCTCTTTCTTTCTTTCTTTACAATTACACCATCCCAACCCCCTTGATTTAATTAAGCTTTAAAGCAATTCAATTTAAATCTCCCCCTCCCTCCCCCCACTATATATATTTATATTCCCCCTTCCGCCCTTTAAACACCTCCTCCTCAGCCGTCCCCAACTACTTCTCGCGGTGGTCTTTATTTCTTCTTCATTCGCCGCCGCTCCTTCACTTCCCTCAAGGTTAGTCGTCACTCCTTCCATCTTTAGTTTGTTTTCAATTATTCTACATATCTATCTATTAGAATAGTCTGAAAACTTAGCTTTTTAATTTTTTGGACCTACAATTACAAACTTTTACAAAATCTGGTTGACTACAACTGATGGGACGTGTTAGATTATGTGAAACATTTTCTGGGTCAGAACCATAAGACTGATGAGTATTTGGTTGACTTTGACTTGTGTAGCGATGAGCAGGAGGAACGGGAACGGGCCGAAGCTGGACTTGAAGCTGAACCTATCGCCGCCAACGAGGATGAGCCGCTCGCCGATGGAGTCCCCGGGGCGGTCGTCGTCGGGGTCGCCGCCAAGCTCGTGCGTGTCGTCGGAGGAGGAGTGTCCCCGGCGTTACTGTAGCAGCCCGGAGGTGGCGTCCATGGTCCTGGTGGGGTGCCCCAGTTGCCTCATGTACGTGATGGTGGCCAAAGACGACCCGAAATGCCCCAAGTGCAAAAGCACCGTTTTGCTTGACCCTTTCTATGACCACAACAAGAACTCCACCAAGAGTTAGTTAGGGTCACCCTCAATCATTAAATTCCATCATTATTATTATTATTAGTAATATTTAATGTTAATTAGGGTAGTAGTCAATCTCATCATAATATTATATTATTATGTACGAAATGATATTTGCATTCCAATTTTTGTTTCTAACACTGCAAAAAAAAAACAATATTCGTGTTAGAGGAGATTGGAGTGTGAATATCGTTTTCTTATATTATCTGATCTGTTTAATTAATTATTACTAAGAAGAAGATGAGGGGGAAAAAGTGCTAAAATGGGATTGAGTGAATTAACGTAAATGTTATTATCATTAATTAGTATTACTCCCTATGATTTTTGCACCCAAGAAAAAAGTTAGTATTTTGAGTTTATATATATATATATATATATATATATATATATATATATATATATATATATATAACACAAGAGTACGTAGGTAATCTGCAGGGCATGCAGAAGAAGTATAAGTTGTGTTCTATGTTTAGCAGAAAACGATGCACCGGATCCGCGGGAAATACCAATGTTTAATTAGTTTATTATTATACGGAGTATTTGTGTATTCTTTTTTTTTTCTATTTCATGATCAAAATGTATCTTTTTTTAATTGTCATGGACTCACAAATGAGTATGAAATATTGACCATTTACCCGTAATAAATATCGGAGTACACGAAGTATTTTTATATAAAAAAAATTAATGATATAAAATTCACATTGGTCATAGTTAAATGCAATTTTAAAACCAATAATGATTGAATTTATAAACTTTGACTAAAGCAAAGCCCATTGCAATTCCAATTCGGAGTAGTGTTTAAGAAAATAGGTTGAAAATTAAAAATAAAAAATGTAATAACAGACAAATATACAATGTGAAAATAAAATTTAATAACAGACAAATATATTATGTGAAAATATAATTTAATTACACGCTCTCAAAGTATTTATATTAGAAAATTACTTTGAATTTTGATGTAAGAAATTAAAAGCGCACTTAATTGTTTTAATAAATATTTTAAAATATCTAATTGTTGTGACTTGTGAGTACAATTTTAATTAATATGAAGTAATAATAGTGAATTAGTGATAGATGTACGTACTATAATCCGGACTATTATACTATTTTGAATTATTACTATTATAGGGACCAAGAATTATGGGTTCATCCATTTTTTAAAGTCTGTAATTTAAACAATGGGGGTTTTTTTCACTTGTAAATATTCTTAGCCTCTTATTAGGAGCACTTTACTACATTAGTACATTTATTTATTACTTTTACCTAACACAAAGTCACAAACAGTTATTTTCAGTCACATAAAACCAAGATATTCATTATATTTTTATAAGTACAAAAGATTTACTTTGTAATTTCTATATTAAAAAAAAAGAACAAAAACAAGGATATGAACTAATTATGGCTAAATCTAAGGTAATCTAAGATGAATTAGTTGGGAGAATGTCAAAAGGAGTGTTTGTTCCGGCAAAATGGCATTCTCATTTTGGGGCTGAGAGAAGAGAATAGAAAGTTGTTCTTGCAATGTTGGAGGGACCCACACCCTGAAGTTGCATTATTGGCCCCATCTTTTCCTCTCACATTCTTAAAAAAATCAGGTGGGACGGTTACTCGGAAGATAAACTTTAATACAGATTGGAGGCAAGTAGTGAAGCCTGCACTCGGTACTTGTAGAAGTTTTATTTTTTGCATAACTGTCTTCCAGCGTAGTTGTCGGAATCAATCCTAGAGTCTAGCCCCTTGGAATTCGTTGCATTTGCCAACTGCGCAATGCTCACTGGCTCTTCCCACATTCTTACTCTTTACATCGGTCCTACAAAGTAGACCTGGCAAAAAATGACCCGACCTGTTTTTGACCCGAAACCCGACCTGAAAATACTAGGTTTTGAACAAAGGTTTTGATGTCTGAACCCGAAATGACCCGCTAAAAATGGGTTAAACCCGACCGAACCCGAACCCGACCCGCTAAAGTAAGAATTTTTCAAAATTATACACTTTACTACTCGTTTTTAGTGTATAAATTAATATTTTTAGATAAAATTTTAATGATATTGCATAATTATCTTACTTTTTTCCAAAACTTAAGCATTTTTTAAATTCCTTATATTGATTTATATATCTAAAAATTACTTCAGAATTTAAAATAAAATAATCTAATAGATTTAATACTTTTTTTGGTATTTTAAATTTATTAAATAGAAAATGTAAGTGTTAATGTGAATTTAAAAATTTTAAAGACCAAAGTCATAACCCGTTGGGTCGACCCGAACCCGATAACATTGGGTCATGAACATACAGTTTTCAACCCGAATCCGAATTGACCCGAACCCGAAGTAACCCGAATACGAAGTGACCAAACCCGAACCCGATCCGACCAACCGATTTGACAGCTCTACTACAAAGGGGTTCCACTTTTTTCGTAGAAAAATTACTCTTTAACTTTTAGAAATAATTTTGTTGACTCAAAATTTTGCTCTACTTTAGAAAAAATCATGGAGTACTTTTTCACATCATTTTCAATCACAGAATTTTATTTAAACATAATATTCCTATCAAGTAAAAAGTGTAACCTTTTTATTAGACCGAGGAAGTTTATATAAACATTATCCAATACTATTTTGTTATCATTTAAAAAAAATATTATTGTTACTCCATCCGGTCCCAAAAATATTGTTTTGAATCATATTTTTATGACATATACTCCCTATCTATATACCACTTACCTTGGTTACTTTGACACCAGGGTGTGTTCATATTATGACATTATCTAATTTGTGGTTGCAAGAGTACTTCATGCTTTCATTCCCAAAGTATTGTGTAGCCCTAAACCCCCAACCCGGCCCTCCCTCTTTTATTTGTTGATTGGCAATATAGTAAATTAATGTTGCCAATTTGCAAGAGGTAGTATGTTACAGGACTATTATTATTATTATTATTATTATTATTATTATTATTATTATTATTATTATTATTATGGTAAGGAATTATTTATATATAGTTAGTTAACTATTATTAGGAAATATTATATTTGTTAGGTGATTAACTAGTTTCCTAGTTTATTTAGTTACCTTTTATAATTAGTATTATTAATTATTTAGTTATCATTTCTTATTGAGATTCTCTAGAGTTAGAATCTAGAAATTAGCCACATGCTTTCATAGTATAGGCTAGACTATGAATTATTTTCCGTTTGAATAGAACACTGTAAAGGCTTGATCATAATATGACACTAATTACATCCAGTGTGAAAATCATCGATCCGCCCATGTATTCGTCTATATATAAATATAATTTAGGATAGATACTCCCTTCGTTCCTAAAAGATGTTCCCGCTTCATTTTTTCGTGCATCTCATAAAACACTTTTATCTCACCTCAAATGCAAAAAAACAATTCAAAACAACATCTACACATAATAAAGGAGGAATGTGATAAATCTTAGATATTTTAGATGTGAGTAGGCTAGGTATGTTTTATGTGGTGCGCAAAAAATGAAACATGAATGACTTCTTAGGATAGAGAAAATTAATGAATAAATTAAAGTATTGCATGATTGAATTATGAAACATGAACAACTTTATATTTTTTCAAAATAATGAGAGCAGTGTGTATACCCGTAACGCCGACCGGCGTTATGCCGGTTTTCACGCCCCGGGGGCGTTAAACACCGCCCCCCGGCGGCGTTACCAGGCGTGCGTCAAACGAATGACGCAGCGTCATTCGTCTCTCCCTCCCCCCTAACGGCTCTTTGAGCCGTTGCACCCCCCAATTCAAAAAAAAAAAATTATTATAAATTCAAACCCCCCCTTCCCAATATCTCACACCATCTCCATCTTCAATCTCTTCTTCTTCCCAATTTATAAATTTCAAAATTCAAACCCCCCCTCCCAATTTAAACATGAATCCTTCCGGCTCTGGCTTCTTTCCCGACAATCTCGCGCCCGTCGACGCCGCGATGTGGTATTACCAAGAGTTGGGTGATCGACCGCCGATGTACGAGACGCAACAATCAGGGTACGTCGACCGAGATTCGGACTAATGATCTACGAGCAAAGAATGAGAGAAATCAAGGAGAAATATAATTTACCTTAGTTTTTTTATTAATGTATCTTTTTTTAAATTATTGTTGCTTTTTTTTATTTAATTAATGTATTTTTTTATTATTCGTGTTTCAATTTAATTAAATAATAAATTAATTACATTTTATTAATTTAATTTTAGAAGATGTATATTTAAAAATGTAAAAAATGAAAGTTTGAAGCCCCACTTTGAAGCCCCGGGGCTTCAAACCCATTTCCAGTGAATTTTGGGTGTAAGTTAAAGCTGACGTGGCAGAGAGAGAACGTTTGAAGCCCCGGGACTTCAAACGTATTTCCAGTGCTCTGAAAATAAGATGAAGAAGAAGAAGAGACTTTTATATACGAGTAATAAAAAAAAATTAAACTACTCCGTAACAACGACGTCAAGTTTGGTAGTAGACTACAACTGAACAATAAATATAGAAGTAAATATCGATCATATCGCTGTTATATTTTATATATAAAAAATTAGGTTTTAAGAGAGAAAATAATTATTAATGGGATTGGGAAATTACACTACGCAACCATTATATATGCATGCATCAAATGCTCTTTAGACCGACAAAGTTTTTAATTTGGTGATGGGAGAGCATTTAGGCGCCTTACTATTTCCCATTGCAAGTAGTTTAACGTCATTATATATCACAATAAATAAGTTACTTTTTCCTCCATGTTTAAAGGATTGGTCCAAATTAAATTTTCCCAACCCCTCCAAAAAATTTAAATTAAATTAGACTACTTCGCTTTGGCCGCAATCGTCATCAGCGTTAAAGGTTAGCATTTTGAAAAGATTGTCTGACGGTAATTTTTAGCGTTAGCGTTTTTAGAATCAGTCAATAGGATTACGATTTTATTAAAGACGCTAACGATAATTGAAAATCATGTTTCTAGACAAGGCTTTTATAATAGATATAAGGTAGTTGTAAATGCGAAACATCGAAAGAAAAAAGTTGGTAATTTAAAGAAAAACAAAAAGACATTCTTGAAAATAGATTGAATAAAGAACTTATATTGAGATAAATTTGGAACACTACCTGAAAGTTTTGTATGTACGTGATATATATGCATCAATAGAATAGTTAGAGCACCGCCAGAGGAGAAGTTATAAATTTGATAGTTAACAGTTATATTTGCTTCCCATTTTCCCAAAGAGTTTTTTAACTATCCATTGTTAACATCTACTTTAACTACATATGGTCTAAGTCCTTAGTGTTTTAACTACCCATCGATCTAAGAAAAGTCAAATGATAGAGAAGATAAAATCCAAAATGAAAGAGTAGTACATCTCCTTATTATCAGATGTGTTTAAAGCCCATTTGCGTAAATTATGCTTTAGAGTAGATTAGACTGGACTTATTTAGGAAAAAATGATATGTTTAAATCTCATTTGCGTAAATTACTCACAATATATTTGTGACGTAAATTTGGTTAAACTTTTCAACTTTGAATATTTTGCTTACATTTATCAATATATGAGGTACTAGACCCATGTATGCCTAATTCATCTAATCCTCGAGCCATTTCTAAATTTGTCATTATTTTTAGTGTTATTTTACCCATATTTTAGGATTTATTAAGTAAAGATTTCTTCATGATTGCTGACGCTCATAACCCCCTTTAATGTTGTTTCTTTATTTTTAAATTGCATAATCGAGAATAGAGAGGCCCAATCTTTAGCAAGACTCGTCCCCACTTTCATGGTAGCACGAACTACACGGAATGGGCCTAAAATCTTTTGGGCTGAATCAGGCTTCAAGATCTTCCATTCTCCCTTAACAGACAGGCTCAGCCCATCATTTCCTCATATACAATTCAATCCAATATTGGCGTTCAACCAACCCAAATAAACCTCGTTCGATTTCTTCTCTCCCTTCAACCCCCCTCGAATTATTTCATCAATTCCTTTCATTTCAAATCTGGTGTCATCCTAGTACGATTGAAGGGAAGGGAATTGAGAGTGAAAATGTAGATAAAAAGAAGAGAAAAGAATCCGGGGAAAAAAAATTGTGGTGGTATTTTTGTATGTAAATCGAACTTTGGTGTCAGTGCCACGTGCCAACAATGTATGATCTTACTCGAAAAATGCATAATGACAAGTAAAAATGATGTAGGAATATTTGTATGAAGAACACTGCGGAGAAGTGTTGATGAAGAACTCGATAGTGTAACAAATCGCGTATAAACGCTTTTAGATCAAAGTTATTTCGGAGTATACGAAATACTTTAATCGGATAGACGTTAATCAACAACAAGCACTCGAAATCTCCACTCTCAATCCTTACCCCGAGACTCTATTTTATAGAGTCAAAAATTCATGACCGGACATGAATGTTCGCGTAGACGCGTACGTTCGCGCGGAGAGAAAGAAACGCGCGATAAGAAGGAAGGGTTTGAATGAAAGGTCTCCTGCAGTTTTAGAGTCAAATTCGACGTTATCCACTCGTTCGAGTCCTTTATTGTTTTGCACTCCGATCACAAAAATCTTAAGGATTTTCATAAAAAAACAACGTCCAAAATAAACTGCTCGACCCTAGCTAAACTAAACAGTCATTTTCAACAGATGACACAAACTGCCAACAATCGACAACCAATATCCAAACAAGGCCATAATCAGAAAACATTGTGGCGTAAACAGCTAACATCCGACATCCGACATCCAAACAAGATCATAATCAGAAAATACAGTGGCGTTTAAAAATTGAATCAGAGATGTCAAAAGTCAAAATAATTGCCAACTAAAATTACTCCTCTAGTGTATGTATTTGTTACTCGTAGTTTTTTTTTGAGTCATAACTATGATCTTGACAACCAAACACGGAGAAAAAAAACTTTCAAGATAGTTTTGAGTAATGATATGCATCTTCTTTTTGAGAACTCATTATCAAATAAATTCCAAAGTTAAACGTGCTTGATATGGAGCAATTTTAGAATGGGTGACTTCCTGGGAAATTCCTTGGGCGCACACGAGTGAGGACAAAATGCACGGGAAAGACTTGTGTTGGTTTGTGGAGTCAGTCTACAATATTATGAGTAGACACTTATGGCTAGGGTGGGGGCTGGGGTGTTACAGACTTACAGAACATATACACGGAGAAGAAGGTAGTAGGACTGTTCATCGGTCCAGAACTGGATCGGACTTGACTAAGTTGTTCTTCATTTTGTATATTTTGACCAGATTATTTATAAAATTATTTTTCATCATATACGAATATTCACAAAAAAATGTATCTATCATTTAAGTCATTTTACTTTCACAAAAAAATTAATCTAAAAATAATTTATAAATTAAAAATTATTTATCAACAATAATTTAATAAATACGACCCAAAATAAACTATTAAAATGAGAGGACATGATTCTATTGTTTACTCTAATGTTCGTAGCGTTTCCATTATTCGTACAGATTATTAACTCCGTATAATATTCGGCACCAAGCCCCCCCATCGTCCTGCCTTACCAACATCTAATCTCTGTCTGTCTCTGCTTTCCCCTTCTCCGCTCGATCAAATCGGCTCTCTGCAAGGATCCGCCCTAAGCTGCAATCAACCATGACGCTTGGCTCAGGAGGATCGAGTGTCGTGGGTGAGTCAACTCGTTTCTCCACTCGCTCCTTGATCTGATTATCTTTATTCGTCTGTATCACTCGTGTCGGGTCTCGTTTCAATGGATCGTCCTGCTATCGATAAACTCGCAGTTAGATTTATGTTTGTGGATTTGTTTGAATAGATATTGTCGATCATCGGTCGCGTGATCGAATCTCCGAGTTGCGCCTTGAATAGCTATTCTGATTTGCGATTTCAATCCATTTCTGTTTTTTTTTCTGGAGATGGGATTCGGCCTGTTCCAGTTGAGTCGTTAAACTTCCGGATGTTCCTTGTTAGGATGAGAACATTCAATTACGGAAATGAACTTCTTAGTTTTTTTAGTAGTGGATTGTTGAGTAAAACTGGATTTTATGATTTTATTGTGCTGTTTCTGGCTGAACACTTCATTTTGAATGTGTAGAGCTCTTTGTAGGTTAGTCTACGAACATCGGTGGGGTTTGATGTTTCTGTTTTCCTGTTACTGAGTTACAGATTTTTTTTGAATTCCTGTTGCTATCAAATGAGTAGAATTGGAAGGGAATGTGTACAGATATATTGTTTGTGTAAACATATATAATTAGTCCTCAGTTGATTAGAGTTCTCATTTTTCACTCCCTGTTTATGGTTATCGGCAGTTGCATATTGTTGAGGAAGTCTTGTTTTTATTTTCTTTGGCACTTGAATGCTGTGTTTCTGTCTATTCCAATTTTAATGTCAATTTTGTTTCAATTTTAGTGATTCATGAATTTGGATATATTGTTTGGTTGATTGTTTTCCCGTCACAGGCTCGTGTTCTGTTTTTTTATCAGCATAGTAGTGTGGCATATTTCATCTGAAGATATGGGATTGGGAATGTCGCATGATAACTTAACGTTTTTACACTATCATGAACAAAAATTTAAGAACCAAATTCAACTGATGATAACTTATCGTTTTTACACTATCATGAACATAAATTTAAGGACCAAATTCAACTCATGCAATTTTAATGATTACTGGTGAGGTACACCTGCATGTATCCACAAAGGATCTCAATATAGTCTTGTTAGTCAATACCCTACTGACCTACTCAATTGTTTGAACTCTAAACATAAATTTTGTGTCAAGCTTTTTTAAGATATTTTAAATGCTCCCTCCTTCCCATAATTGACTACACTCTTGAAAGTACGTGCAAAACCCCTTGTCTTTTAAGTTTATTTTATTTACAAATGGTATAGAAGTAAAAAAAATCAACTTATATATTAAAAAACCATTTCAAAAGTTATACTGAACAAGAGGTGACAAGAATATTTTTATTTTTTTAAATACCCAATGAAAACACATAAGTAAACAAAAGTTATTCGGAGTTTAGCATAGTAACAGAGTAATCTATTTTGGGATGTAGGGGGTAGTAGTTTCACAACATATGAATAAATCATAGGTCATACTTTTCTACTATTGCTTTATCTCAAAAATATGTCACATCTAGGTATTCTTACCATTTTGAATAAAACCAATATCATGGATAATGGATTTTCAATTTCCTCCCAGTCCCACGCAATTTCAGGTTGCTAGAGGAACTTGAGCGTGGAGAAAAAGGTATTGGAGATGGGACAGTGAGCTATGGCATGGATGATGGAGATGATATCTACATGCGTTCTTGGACTGGCACCATCATTGGTCCCCACAATGTGAGCATTATAGTTCTTGTAAACCAACTTCATTTTTGCTCTACTTATTTTGAGGGACTAAAAGCCAATGGAGCCAAAAAGAGGTGTACAATGTTTTAGTTTCAGACATATAATGGACAAAATCAAAATGACACATCAAACTTCCCTTTACTTTCTATGATGTTTTGGGAAGTAATTGCCACAATGCATCTTGGGTCTAACTGAAATAGCCTCTGTTTTCAGGCGTAAGACCTCGTACATCTTGACCCCCTAGACCCCAATAGAGCTGGGATTATACTGGGTTGTTGTTGTTTCTGTTGTTTTGAGGAACTAATATTTTCATTACAGCTGTTATTGATTTCATCTTGACAATATACTGGTTTCCAGCTCTTTAATGCATTGCGGTTTAACTTTTTATTTATGATCTTGTTGAGATGAGGATCAATGCCCAGATGAAATGAATTCTGTATATTCATCTCATTATCTCTCTTAGAAAGGTTGCCATAGGGACATCCCGCACAAAAAAAATGCCACTGCTTTTTTGCATGTATTTATGCTGTTAAGTAAATTTATACTCCGTACAGTATAATGGTTCTCAGTATTTTTTATTTTTTACAATTAACCTTATTGTTTATGATTTCATTGGAAGGACCTCCTTATAATACCCAAATGAATTTAATTCCTTATACTCATCTCATTATTTCTTAAGAATGTTGCCACAGGAAGGACATCCTGCCTAAATCAGTGCCACTGTATTTTTTGCATGCATGTATGCTGTTAAGTAATTTTATACGATTAATTAACACTAGATTTAATGATGCCAACCCAAACTAGCTGGGATTAAAGTGATGGTGATACTTATGATTTTCTTTCCAATTTTCCTTTATGTCTTTCTTTCTATTTCCTATCCTTAATATTTTCCAGGTATCAAATGGGCCCTTATAGATTTATGTTTTTCTTTTAAATTAGTTTTATCTTTTATGATGTATAAGGCTTGCATTATTATGTCACAGAGATTATTACTGGTAGGCCTCATATCTCGACATATGTATGGTTTGAACTGATGCACTCTTACATTTAAAAGTTTAATAGCGGGCACATATTTGATTAATTTTAGCAAAATGCAGTCTGTGCATGAAGGCCGTATATACCAGCTGAAGTTGTTCTGCGACAAAGATTACCCAGAGAAGCCACCCACTGTTCGTTTCCATTCTCGAATCAACATGACCTGTGTGAATTCTGAAACAGGAATGGTATGCCGCATGCAACAAAAAAAACTACACGTTTATTTAAATGGGTCTTATCAAAGTATTGTGAGCCTAATGTGTCTGTAATTTGGTGGCATAGGTTGAACCGAAGAAGTTTAGTCTTCTAGCGACTTGGCAGAGACAGTACACCATGGAAGACATTCTGACACAGCTAAAGAAGGAGATGGCAGCTTCACATAACCGCAAGCTAGTCCAGCCACCGGAAGGCACGTTTTTCTAGTCAACCAACTAAGTCATACAATTTATGTGTGGAACTGTAATTCTGTGTCATGTTAACATTGAAAGTTCTATGTAGGATGCAAATGCTCTGTCCCTTTGCTTATCATGGCTTCCCTACCCCCACCCCACCCCCTTCTAGTTTCTCACAACAAGTTTACAGGATGCTCAATGCTGCACTGTTTGGTTAATTTGGATTTTCCGGTGTGCTGAACAAGTTTTACATAAAACATGAGTTGTTTCATTGGCATTTGTTTCTCTAAGCGCATGCTTTATGTATAAATACTTTGTATGGTCATATTATGTTTATATATATATGGATTTCTTTTATGCCTAAAGGAGATTGAGCTCGAGCGGTCTCTCTCTCCCCTTCTTAAAGGGTCACCCAGTTTAGTCCAACCCCGCATTTTGTTGGGTCCTTCACGGATCCTTTGAAGTTTGATGCCTTTGTTACTGCTTCGCTTCGAGCGCGGGCACCAAGTGGGGCCACTTGACCTGTTGTCAAAGTTTGCATCGGAAGGTATGATGACTTTTGGTTTCTATTTCCATGTTTGGTAGGGCAAGAAATGTGGAGGAAAGAAAAACAAAAAGAAAACAGAGATGCAATGAAGCATTTCTCATGTTTGGTATGTTCCACACATCCTTTTCATTTCTTACCTATCAAACAAAGTCCTACAGAGAGGAAAGATGTTAGAAATGAATCTCCAAACTCCAATTATTTCTCTCTTTGCCAAACAACACCCAAAGTCTACCCCATTTCTCTCCCAACTAAATATTTGGTAGGGTGGTGGTTGACAAAAGATAAAATAGATATGATATTTGGTTTGTAGGAAGTGTATAGAGATGCATTGCATGTGAAGGGTCGGTCGGTGGTTTGGAAGTCTAAGTTGGGTTTGATGCCATCATGACTTTGTCACTTTGAGAGGCAGGCATACCGTAGCAAATGTATTTATTACTCCTCCCTCTATTTTTAATCTTCCCAATTTGACTTTTAACGTCAACTTTTTTAAGCTCTCACTACAAATTACAGAAAAGAAATTGTTATGATATAAATTTAATATCGATAAGTTCATTTTGAAATATAGTTTTGAAATCTTGCATCTTCATAATATGTATTTATATACAAATAAACATATTGATGATCAAAAGATCTATGTACAAATAAAGATTGATAATTAAAATATTGTATAAAAAATCGTGAAACGTCAACTGAAAAGATTCAAAATAAAGAGAGGTAGTTATATACTTACTCCGGGGTATATTATTATGGCACTCATAAATGGGGAAGATGATCTTAGTGGGTCTTACTATTCCTATTCTAATGAAGAAGCATACAAAAATGTCTTGTGTTTTTTGTTCTTTTAACTCTCAATATATAAAAAGGACATCCTTAAAGAAAAATACAAGTGCTTGATATGTTGATGATCAATTCTATGCCAAGTTTTTTTCGCAAGAGAATGATCAATTAAAATGGCATTCTAGTGTGCAAAGGGTTTCATGCGTATTAAAGAAACAACTCAAACAAGGGAAATGTTTGGTTCACAAACACAAACTTCACAAACTTATAATTTGTGAGCTTCAATAAAAAAACTAAATAATCTAAAATAATTTTAAAATGAGAATTTAAATCATAAATAACAAGTTTGTGGAGTTTGTGATCATTCTGTTTGTGAACGTAGCATTGCTCAAGAAATAATAGCCAAGTTCACAAGACTACACAGCGATCAAACACTCGTGAAGCCTCCTCTTACTACAAATATCTACTCATCAAAATATCCATGAAGTAAGAAAGAATAAATCAAAATTGTAGACTTGGCTAAAATTTTAAACATCATAATGTAAAATGAGAATATTAAATAGGGACGTTGGGAGTAACTCATATGCTGAATACAAATAATGCTAAATATACTTCATTCGTCCTAGAACAATATTTTTTTGCTCTTATGATACATATTGTCATCATATTCTGTTTTGATCAACAAAGGTGATAATTGAGTATTGTATATTATCATCGTCCTAAAAATGATTTTTCATTTTACTTTTTATTCATCCTAAACGAATTTCTCACTTTTTTCTCTTTTTTATGTAGTAGAAAAGAATATATGTTCAAAATACTTCTCTTATTGAACTAAATTTTAAATACTCACTTATTAATATTCAAATTTTTTACCAGGAATAATGTGTAAAAAAGTGTAGGTGAACAAATGAAATACTCACATATAGAATATTATTCAATATTTTTTTCAAAGTTTTTGTATGTAAGATGTCAAATTGAACAAATTAATTTAACTCGGAATATTTTTATTTATTTTAATGATTACATGCATATATATTTTTCCAAAAATGATATAGTTAAAAGATAAAAAATCACAAAATTCACACATTTTTTTTTACTATTTTAAAGTATGTTCTCCTTTCGGTAGGAATAACAAATGATAAATTTGTGATTTTTGTAATCTTTTTAGAATTAATGATTGTGATACACTAATGTCATGTCCTCCTCAACTTATTTTTATGGAAATCGGATCAGATCAGATCATAAATACTCCGTAGTTATAAATATAACTACGTTTTTATATGGGACCATGCTACATTTACACCAAAAATTGTACCCCATTTGTACACAGCAGTTATACACAAATATTATGATGGTTTACACCGATACAAATATTGGTGCGTTAATAAAAATTTACACGGACACAAAGTGTTGGTGCGTTAACAAAAACTAATTTTACACCAACACAAAATGTTGGTGCAAACCTACGGGATACAAAGTGAGGTACAAAAGGGTGGTGTAAAAGTAGCTTTGTCCTTTTATATGTCAAAAATTTATGTTAGAAAAGGGTGGTGTACAACTTGGTGTACTCCAAAAAATTTTATTCTTAGTTTTTTTTTTTTGCTTTTTTTTGAGAAAAATAGTTTTTTTAGTTGTTGATAAAACATCGCACCCCTATCACCGCACCACGTCCGTGTCCCCACACATTTCGTAGAATAATATACTCCGTAATAAAAAATAAAAAAAGTAACCTCCGGTGTAAATAAATATACGTACTGTCACTAACCCTAACCCGCCCATCGCTGTCAACTCATTCCCGAACTCCGATTTCCTCATCAGATGCGCTTCCATGTCCGACATGGCCACGGACCCTCCGCCACCTCCCCGCAACCCATCTCCGCCGCCGGAGATTATATCCATAACCGCCGATAAGCCGATTCAGATCCGCTCCGTTTGGGCCAAGAACCTCGACTCCGAATTCGACTTGATCCGCAAGCTCATCGACGATTACCCCTTTGTCTCCATGGATACCGAGTTTCCCGGCGTGGTTTTCCGGCGCGACCTCCGTTCCCGAGACCCCGATGAGCATTACCGGACCCTCAAGTCCAATGTGGACGCGCTTAAGCTCATCCAGGTGGGGATCACTCTCACTGATGCTTCCGGCAACCTTCCGGATCTCTCCTCACCCTTCCGCTACATCTGGGAGTTTAACTTCTGTGATTTTGATGTAGGGCGGGACGATCACGCACCTGGATCTGTCGAGCTCCTCCGTCAGCAGGGGATAGATTTCCACAAGACTCAGTCTTTAGGTGCCGATACCACTCGCTTTGCCGAGCTGATGATGTCATCCGGCCTCGTCTGCAATGACGCTGTCACTTACATCACCTTTCACAGTGGCTATGACTTTGGGTACCTGATCAAGGCTCTCAAGGGCTGTGATCTTCCCGGGACGCTCGGTGAATTCCATGAATTGCTCGGTGTTTTGTTCGGGAACAAGGTTTATGATGTGAAACACTTGATGAAATTCTGTTCCAATCTCCATGGTGGGCTGGACCGTGTTGCCAGTATGCTCGAGCTAAACAGGACGGTTGGGAAATGCCACCAGGCTGGATCAGATAGCTTGCTTACTTGGAGTGCATTTCAGAAGATAAAGAAGGCTTATTTTGAGGACAGAGATGCTCTTACTGAGAAGTATGCTGGCGTTCTTTATGGGTTAGAGACTCTCTCTCCTTAGACTCTCTAGATGTAGAGTCATGGGTTGAAAATTTCCCTGTTGATCTGTACAATCCATTTGGTTAATATATTTAAAAAAATATTAATTTCTAGTTGATTTTTTCTATGTTTGATCCTGCATTTTGTATATTCGCATACTAGTTAGTGCCCTTGATTGTGTTGAGTTCTGACTTAACATCAACGTGAGGATTTTCTTAACTTGACATGCTGTCCAGACAAAACACACTTGGCAATTTAACTTGTAAAGAATACAATTTCACATTTTGGTAGCATCATGTCTCAATTATATGTTCTTCATTTTCCAACTTATTGATGTCATACCTTCAATTCTAGGTCTAAAACATATGATAGTTTACGTTTTGTAGTTACTCCAAGTTTAAACCATTCATTTCAAAATCCATACAGTGAGCTAATTGTTAATGGGAGTTTAGAACATGTGGGTTTGTTATTGTTAATGCTGACCAGTTTCAAGTCTACGTATGAAGCAAGTTCACAAAAGTAGGATACAAATGATTTAGTCATGGTTTGCCAGTTTGTAGATCCTTCTGTTGTGTGGTTTGGACAGTGCATTTAGATGATGTCTGCAATATTAAGCCCTCGTTTGGTACTGTTTTCTGTTTCTTGAAAGCAAAATTATGAATTACGAGAGAGTGTGATTTTCAGTTCTTTGTTGATGGCTTTTAAAATTAACATGGTTAGTTCATTATGCAACTTCCATCCCATAACTTAAAAATTATTAACACCAAAAACTCAAAAAATGGCAGCCTTACGAAACAAGCCCTAAATAAATTTGTTTTCCTGAAGTTATGCCAAATTACCAATAGATTATCTGTCCATTTTTGCATTTGAGACAGATTATTACCAAGTTTTATTTGATGTCAGAAGTTAATCAGCATCTTTCTTTTCAGGCTTCTTGTTATATGTATATTTCAAATGCTATCCAATGTAATGTTGATCCACCACTAATTCAAGACAGATAAATGACTCATGATTGTCATAAGTGTCTTGTAGTCTTCTTATTATTAGTTTTAAATAAATTTTGTATCATAATTCTTTAATGGTTATTGCTGGTTTGGTGCATAGATCTTTGCTCTATCAATTCTATATCACTTCTTGTTTGGGATAGTCTAATTTCGTTTGTTTCAAGAATACAGTGTTTAGAGTGCCTGATCCTGCATTTTGTATATTTGCATACTAGTTAGTGCACTTGATTGTGTTGGGCAATTTAACTTTTGTAAAGAATACAATTTCACATTTTAGTAGCATCATGTTAGGGTTAATGCTGATCAGTTTCATGTCTACGTGTGAAGCAAGTCTGCAAAAGTAGGATATAAATGATTTAGTCATGGTTTGTCAATTTTTACACCATCTGTGAAGTGGTTTGGACTTTGGAGTGCATTTAGACTTAAGATGATGTCTACAACATAAAGTCCTCATTTGGTATTGTTTTCTGTTTCTTGAAAGAAAAATCATGAATATGGGAGAGTGTGATTTTCAGTTCTTTGTTGACGGCTTATAAGATTAACATGGTTAGTTCATTATACAACTCCTATCCTATAACATTAAAATTATTAACACCAAAAACTCAAAAAATGGCAGCATTACGAAATATGCCCTAAATAAAGTTGTGTTCCTGAAGTTATGTGAATAGATTACTTATCCATTTTGGCATTTGAGACAGGTAATTACAAAGATTTCTTCAAAGTTAGGAGTTAATCAGAGCATCTTTCTTTTCAGGCTTCTTGTTATATGTATATTTCAAATGCTATCTCATGTAATGTTGATCCACCACTAATTCAAGACAGAGAAATGCCTCATGATTGTGACAAGTGCCTTGTAGTCTTCTTGTTATTAGTTTTAAATAAATATTGTATCATAGTTCTTGAATGGTTAGTGCTGGTTCGGTGCACGGCTCTTTGCTATATCACTTCTTGTTTGGGATAGTCTAGTTTTGTTTGTTTCAAGAATGCAGTGTTTAGTTTTGGGGATGTAATATTAGTGAACATTAAGATTAAGATTATCAAGGAGTGACATATTTGGCTTCAGTAAACATTTGAAGTTGTGCAGTTTTGAAGATGAAGCAAACCTTACCTAAAAGCAAAAACTAATGCTTTTGGACATTCGTGGTCATTATGCCGTGAATTGTCAGGGAAGGCTAAGGCATTCATGATTCCGTGTTTAATAATGTGCATATATGAACTGTTTGCATCACAGGAATCAAATGAATTTGTGATCTAACATGCAGTTAAACATATGTTAGAATTTCCCATGTTCTCCTTGATGTGCATATATTGATTGTAGTTTGCAAGGCAGATGAATCAAACAATTCCAAGGAAACAGACCAAGTTGGTGTATTCCTCGTGTTATCAACTTGCAAAGGTATGCCCGCTCTTCATAACGATTATCAACTTGTAAAAATGACAGATTGGGATCTAATTGTGCAAGGAACTAAGGACATGATCTTCTAGTGTCATCCCAAAGGTCAATTAACATAGAAAGTGCACTTCTTTCCAATGTATTATGTACAAACACAACACACACTCTTGGTTTGTATTTATATGTCTGAGTTGGTTAATTTTTCTTGTTCCATTTTACTTGTGAAATATTTGCACAATGATTGTCATTCTCTCACTTTATCCTTCCTATTTTATTTGTTAGGCTTGGAGTCTTTCTCCTTACATTCCACTGTCTGCCTTTTATCTTATGGTGCTTTTCTTGCCCTTAGTTTGCTCTTTGATGTTTTTGTGCACACACACCACGCCCTCTTGAGACCATGTTATTGCGGGATTCTACTAGATTGTTGTTGTTGTGTAGATAATAAGCACTACATAGTACGGAGTATGACATAAGTTAATGAATGATTTAATGGGAAGTGAGTCCATTTTTTGTTTCTCAATTTTGTCAAAAGCTAAAATTGAAGTGAACGTTAAATGATTATGATCGCGCCACTACTCAAGAGAAGGTTGCGAAATTCCTTCATATCAAAGGCTATAAAGTTTGATCAAGGTTTAAATTTAAAAGTTATGTTTCAAAATGAATCTGTTATCTATTGATACGGAGTATTAAATTTATATCACATTTCATTACTTTCTTTTTTGATAATTTGAAGTAATAAATTAAAAATGTTAATTATTTAAAGCCAAAGAAACAAAGTGGATGCAAAAAGTATCTTTAACCTACATCTATCTAAAAAAGATAACCACAAATTCACTTTTTTGATCAAATTGTGACATACTTTGACTATAAATTAAAAATAGTTTTAAATAATTACTCCATCCATCCTAAAACTATCTTCCCATTTCTCCTTTTTCTCCGTCCTAAAACTATCTTCCCACTTCTTAAAAAAGGATGTAAATAGACTATATTACCCTTAACATCTCAATTGTTGTCATCCGTCTTCCATTTGTTTTCGGTCTCTGCCTTCTTCCCCTTCATTAGATCCATCTCACTTCCCTCTCCCTCTTTCTCCATCTCTCCTTCTTCTCCCTCTTCCTCTTCCTCCATCTCTCCTTCCTCTCACTTTCTCCATCTTTCTCTAGAGATGTAATCCTCTGCGTCTCTCTTCCCTCTCCTTCTTTCTTCCCCTCCTCAAAATCTTTTTTAAGAAGTCGTATTTCTTAAAAAAAAAACTAAAAGGGCTCCAGATCCGTACCCGATTCAGGTAAGCTTTTCGGATCCATGTCATGGCAAGAAGCCGACAAATCTGCAGCTCCAGATCTGTTTCCGGTTTGCCAGACGCCGTCCCCGCCGGCGAATCCGCACCCATCCGGCGCGCAAGGCTGCAAACAAACGCCGATTCTTTGTGTGCTTTGTCGTGGGAGAAGTGGGAGATCTGCAGCTCCAGATCTTTGTGTTCTTTGGGTGAAGTGGGACACTCTAGGGACACCTTAGTAAAGTCAATGCATATTTTACACTTCCTTTAAAATGGCATATAATCAACGTGGGAAGTTAGAATTAAGACGGGGAGAGTATTAAATATTACTTCCTCCACCCTAAAATGTTCTTTCTAGTTGTTTTTCACACGGTCAAAGTTTAATCATTTTCTTTACCTATTTTCATTAGGTATTTGATAAAATAATATAGTTTTGTTACCACTTATTTTGTAAAACTTTTGATGTAGTTTTTAAAAATATAAATTTTATTTTTTAATTTTACACTTACAATCAAATAAATTAAATTAAAAATAAAATCGGTCAAACCTCGTAAACACAAACGGGGAGAACATTATAGGACGGATGGAGTATAAAATTTTGATATATCAAAACTATATTTTATAATTATTCTAATTTTATTATATTTATTTTATATCTAGACTTGATCAAAGTGCGTGTTGACAAAAGTTTTCTATGCTCAAACCCGATTCCGCCGTATAGGGAACCTAATAATCCAAGCCCCGTCCCGTATGGATAGCTGCAGGCTTCGGGCTGGCCCAATTTGCATGCACACCTTTTAAATAGTTGAAAAATATTTTTTTTATGAAGTAATGCATTAAATGCTTGATATAATAAATTATAATTATGAAGATGTGCTAGACTTGCAGCTAAAAGACGTGCATACTAGTACTCCCTCTGTAGGCAGGATCAGGGGCGGACCCACGTAGAGTCATACGGGGTCACGTGACCCCATGGAATTTTGTAATTTTTTTTATATATTTATATATATTTAGGTAAAAATATATTATTAGTATATATATATATAGCAAAACGCAAAAGTGTAACATGGATGTGTAGACGGAAATTGGAATGGAAAGCGGATGCATTGTTTTTGGTTCCTGAGACCGCAGGTTGAGGGTTCGAAAGTGGGTTGCTACAATTTTGAACCACATTTTGTTTATCTTGTTTCCCTTTTCCATTTTTTTTGTACGTTTCTTTTTTGTTTTTCTTTTTTTTTTTGTTTCAATCCTTCATTGCATAGTCATATAATTCATATTCTTTACTCACATAATTGATTTTACTTTTTTTAATAACTCTAAAATAAAAAATCTTTTATGTATACTTTATTTACGAATTGGTATTGTAATACAAATTACTTTTTATTTATTTTATTTCCCTTTTTCATTTTTTTGTACGTTTCTTTTTTGTTTTTCTTTTTTCTTTGTTTCATTCTTCATTGTCTAGTCATATTCTTTCCTCACATAATTGATTTTACTTTATTTAATAACTCTAAAATAAAAAATCTTTTATATATACTTTTTTTACGAATTGGTATTGAAATAAAAATTACTTTTTGTTTATTTTGTTTCCCTTTTCCATTTTTTTGTACGTTTCTTTTTTGTTTTTCTTTTCTTTTTGTTTCATTCCTTCATTGTCTAGTCATATTCTTTCCTCACATAATTAATTTTACTTTTTTTAACAACTCTATAATAAAAAATATTTTATGTATACTTTATTTACTGATATTGAAATAAAAATTAATATTCGTCTAATTTGACTTTTGAAGTATAAAAAGTGGGTTACTACAATTTTGAACCACATTTTGTTTATCTTGTTTCCCTTTTCCATTTTTTTTTTGTACGTTTCTTTTTTGTTTTTCTTTTTTTTTTGTTTCAATCCTTCATTGCATAGTCATATAATTCATATTCTTTACTCACATAATTGATTTTACTTTTTTTAATAACTCTAAAATAAAAAATCTTTTATGTATACTTTATTTACGAATTGGTATTGTAATACAAATTACTTTTTATTTATTTTATTTCCCTTTTTCATTTTTTTCTACGTTTCTTTTTTGTTTTTCTTTTTTCTTTGTTTCATTCTTCATTGTCTAGTCATATTCTTTACTCACATAATTGATTTTACTTTATTTAATAACTCTAAAATAAAAAATCTTTTATATATACTTTTTTTACGAATTGGTATTGAAATAAAAATTACTTTTTGTTTATTTTGTTTCCCTTTTCCATTTTTTTGTACGTTTCTTTTTTGTTTTTCTTTTTTTTTGTTTCATTTCTTCATTGCCTAGTCATATTCTTTCCTCACATAATTAATTTTACTTTTTTTAACAACTCTATAATAAAAAATCTTTTATGTATACTTTATTTACTGATATTGAAATAAAAATTAATATTCATCTAAATTGACTTTTGAAGTCAGACTGGATAAATTTTGATTATCGGTCAATTTAAAATTGAATAGGTTACCGAAATAAAATTAATTTTATTAAATTTATCTTGTCAATTTTTTTCTGAAATTTATTTATTTTTGAAAATATACCATGTAAAATTTATGTAATTGGCATTAAAACTAATCCAATTTAATATTTTTTTAAATAAATCTAATCTTTAACTTTATGAGTTATTCCCATCATCTCGTTATGCTTGACTTATACATTATTTACAGAGTTAAATTAGATAGTTTTTCTTTACATGTTTTCGTCTATGTTTATGGGATATCATTCATTAAATTTTACAGTTCGTTATTATATTTTGCTCGCTTTTTTAAATATTAACTAAGAAGAAAAAAATTGAGTAAAAAAAATATTCGTTCAACCCCGTGCGTTGCACGGGTTAAATACTAGTTTTATTAAAAATTATAGTAATGAAAACTCTTATTTCATAAAACATTTTATGTTATTTTTAAATCTACAATTTTAAGTTTTTATTCAACACCAATATTTAAATAAATTTAAAAAAATGTTTTAGTTAAACATTATAAACTGAAATGAGACAAACATGTGACAAGAAAATACACTTTAACTTAACATTGACATGTCGTCTGTTGATAAAATATCTCAGAGACACGATCCCACGATCCAAAATTTCTGGGTGCGCCACTGGGCAGAATGATCTTATCAAACTATATCGAATAAGTTCTGATCTGGTCTGGTCGGATCTGTTCTGATCTGAATATAGTTATATTTAAAGCTATTTTTTTATCTAATCTGATTCCAATAAGAAAAAATAAAAAAAAAAAAAAAATTATAGAGTTTTAAAATGAATACTTGGTACAACAGAGCAGCACTTCAGTGACTTTGCAAAGAAGTTTCCTGCATACCTAGTCTGATCTGATTCCACCATTGGACAGAGTTTTAACCCTGTAAATACAATGTTAATAATGGGTTCAGCAATCCAATAAAATGAATACAACGTTCAACTCGTGCAAAGAATTAAGGCTAGCTAGAAACACCGACCTGTCTGTGTATCCTAAAGTGTATGTTCACATGATCCAGAATTAGGAGAAATGCAGGAAATCATAGGTGTCTTTGAGTTGCCAACAAAGGAGCCATGAAGCACTTCAGTGAGTTTGCTCCCACACAATGGTATATGAAGCCGATCATTGTCAAGAGTAGGAACGTAACACACTGTAATAGCTTTTCATTTGATAAAATAAAATATTCTTGACACCTCTTATTTTGAAGAATTTTTCATGTAGTTTTAAAATATGTAAATTCTATTTTTTTTATTTCTATATCAATATTTAAATAAAATAAATTTTTAAAAAAAACTTGTTATTTTGTTTCGTTTTTGAAATGTGGTAAGCATTTAGTGACGGATGGAGTATTTGATAAGTGCGTTGTGTATGTATTTATCTGTTTCATATTTAATGTTTTACTGTCAAATTCTGAATCAACTAAAACATATATGCTCGTTACCATTTATTTGTTCACAATTGTTAAAGTCGACAAAAGTTATGTGCCTAAGGAATAAAAGTTGGAACAAACGCAATACAGAAGTGCTAAAAAGTACAATATCGGTGTATTTTATGATAAAACTCACTCACTCTCTCCCAAGTTATTTTCTTGTTTTCTTTGTTGAAGAGTTTTTTGGGTATTGTTATCTTTCTCTTGCTTCTACATTGCTTTTAATTATCGAATTTCACATTTTTAAGCTTTGTGCTAAACCCGATAAGAACATTAATTTGAGACGAAAGAAATTGTTTTTTGTGCGTATTGAGAATAATACAGTCTCAAAAAAGTCAAACTAAAATTACACCATGATTTATGCCTCTTCCATTTTTTGTTTAATTCCGTATTTGTTGGGAATTAGGACCGTACGTGTGAGTATTATTTTATTTTATTTTTTTGAAAGGTATGGGTGAGTATTAATAATGAGGGTTTGAAGGCAAATATAATTCAACCACTCGCTTCATTCTTTTAATATTTGTCTGACATATTTGTAGTAATACTATTACTCAGTGTGTAACAAAGTAGCTCATTGGAGGGAGTTAATGCATGCAATGCCTCATTAAACTAAGAGCACTGGAATTACTCGTAATATTTCATAATATTGGGGGGACATTTTTCCATATTTAACGCTCGAGGCGTTAAAATTCATAATATTGGGGGGACATTTTTCCATATTTAATGCTCGAGGCGTTAAACACCGCCTCCTAGGGGCTTTATTGTGTATATGCGCAGTATTACATTTTTGTAATTAGTATTTAAAAATTTTGAATATTATATAGATAAAGATTGATAATAAATTAGATCTCAATTTAACAATAATTTTATTAAATTGTTTTCATATATTCCCTCCATTTTTTAAGCCTCACCTTATTTTTTACATGTTTCACAAAACATTTTTACCGCACATAAAATATCTAAAAGTCATCATATTTCTCTTTAATTACGGGTAGAAGTTTTAATAGTATTTTAGATGAGATGATTGGCTAACCAAGGTTACGTTAAGAATATGAGTGGGGTTTCGTTGACACTGGCCAACGATGCCACTAGCGGTGTCACTGCATTTTTGGAGCACCGGAGGTGCTCCAATAATCAGAAAAATTGATGGTTCATACCCCTCTAATCACACATAAGCCCCCACCCCAGCCCCGTCCTAAGCCCCTCTTAGAATGTGTGGCTATTATGCAATATAATGCATAATAGCCACACATTTGGAGGGAGGCTTAGGTCACGATGTCTTCACCTGATCTGATTGGTTCTGATCTGATTGGAATAAGTTCTGATCTGGCTTGATATGATCTTAATGTGATTATATTTAAAATTATTTTTGATATGATCTCGTCTGATCTGATTTCAATAAGAATAAGTAATAAGTAAAATAATACTCCCTCTGTCCATGTATGATCTTCCCATTACGCGTTACGAGGCTTGACCGATTTTATTTTCAATTCAATTTAATTGATTATAGGAGTAAAATTTTAAAATAAAATTTATATAGTAATAAACTACATGAAAAATTCTACAAAACTAGAGGTGACAAGACTATATTATTTTATGAAATGACTAGTAAAATTGAGCAAACAAAGTGAGTAAAGTTTGACCCTGTGAATAGTGTATGGGAAAATCTATGGTGGACAGAGGGAGTAAGTTGGGAAAAACTTGGTCTTAGGTCGCGGCTGTGATGGGGGGTGAGGTTAGGGTGGGGGGTTTAGGGGGTGGGTTAGAGACATCGAAGATGCTCCAAAAATGCAGTGGCACATCTAGTAGCCCCGTTGGGCCACTATCAACGGAATTGTGTCCTTAAAATATTTGGCATTTTTATAGGTAATCTGTACACTCTACATGTATCCCCTAAGCCAACCACCACATACACACGCATATTTCACCACTGAGTAAGTTGTAGTAATAAATTCATGGGGAGCCACTTTCACCGAGTTTCACCACTCTCCTCAATCCCACAAAAAACATTCAATCTATACATTTTATTCCTCTCAAAAAATGTTTCTTGTTTGTGATCATTCTAATGTTTTTGAAATCTTACATATTTTAATTGTTGTGGTTTCTTTTTAGTCAAACTTCTTTGACTCTCCTTCCCAAAAGTCTTTAAAAAAAAGTTTTGTTACATGGGAGAGTATAAAATCTACCATTGAGGACTTGAATTTGAACCACTCTCTCCCCTGGTAAGTTGCAACATTAATTGCCTCATTAATCCAACAAAACCACACACCTCTTTCTAGCTCCCCCCTCACTACCTCCCTCCCACTTTTATTTCATTCACATCCCATTTTTTTTCAAATTTCAAACAAAGAAAATGATGAAACTCATCCCATCTTTCCTCTCCAAACCTTCCGAACCAACCCCGCCGCAGCCTCCCCGAGCGGACCCCGCCACCGCCACCGTTGACGATGACAACGATCACCTGCAGTGCTTCGCTTCTCTTGAAGACGACGAGTGTGTCGAGAAGCTCATCAGAGGGGTAAAATCGTCTGGGCGTCTTTTTTTCGAGCCCGGGCAATCCCTCATCGGCTTCCAGAAACCGGCGACGACGGACGGCCCGTTCGTCGTCGAGGAGAGCGAGGCGCTGTCGCTCGACTCGACGGACCCGTTTTCCGACTTCAAGAGATCAATGGAGGAGATGGTGGCTGCCCACCACCACCACCACCACCATCAAGATGATCAAAAGCATGGTTTGGATTGGGAGTTTCTTGAAGAACTGTTGAGCTGTTATCTGAAGATCAATGAGAAAGGGAACCATGGTTACATCTTGGGAGCCTTTGTGGATTTGTTGGTTTCCCTTTCTATCCATTCTTCTTCTTCCTCTTCATCTTCTTCTTCTTCAGCTGTTGCTAGCCATTCTTTTACATCTCCATTATCATTTTGTTCTTCAAATGGCTCTGCAATCAGTCCATGTTTGTCCTCTTCTGCACAGGAAGCTGAAGATGAGGTTCAAAGTTCGGCAGGCACTGTTTGAAACACTTAGGGGATGTGATTTTTTTTTTTTTTGCGTTGTTGCTATATTATGGATCGGTCATGCTTCTTTTGTGTGGTTATAAATGATTTTAAGTGTTAGGATTAGGGCTATTAATGTAAAAAAAATGTTATTAACACAAGAATGGGGGCTAGATTTTAACCATTTAGCATTGTAGTTCTCATATTATGTTAATGTTTTCCTATGATTATAAATTAGTCAAAACTACTTATAACTTAATTTTAAGTTGTAAGTCGGTTCATAATGTGTTTTTTGTGCTTTTAGCTTGTTTATAAATAAAAGTTATCCATTATGACCAGATTATTTAGTAAAAGGGCAATGATAAGGATACACCAACATGAGTTATCCCATATGTACACCAAGCCAACACAGACACAAAATGTCTGTGCAGCACATACATGTAAGTTATTAAAATTATACCTCACCTTTTTTGCATATTTCCAAATGACATACTTATTTCTTATTTAAGCCACTTTATAAAAAGTATTTAAATAAATAGTTATAGATTAAAAACTGTTTGTAAATAAAAAGTCAATAAACACTCGTAAAATACCCTATCTAGGATAGGGTAAGTTGTATGAGTTGTTTGTAGTTGTTGTTAAGACGACTATTGGTAAATGTTAGACTTAGATCTTCGTTTGAATTGTTGTTGTAGTGACAGAAATTTATGGTCTTGGTCTTGTTTGAAAATAACGTACGTTTTTTTAACATTTTCGTTTTGAATTACTTTTAAGTACTATCGTTCATAATGTTGAAACTATACTCCCTCATAAACCATAAAAAAAGAGAAGAAAAATTACAACCATCTAGACTTGGCAATTTATATAACAATGACATCTTGTTGGCAAATACTCTCTTCGTTCCTAAATAAAAATCCCCTTTCGTTTTTTCTTTTTCCCCAAATAAACTTCTCTTTTCCTTTAAAAAACCCTTGTTATCCCTTACTTTTTCATACCCTACCTATCGCATCATACCTTTTTACTAATAATCTACATATCACATCTTACTTTTACACATCACATCAAGGGTATTTTTGGAAAGTCAACACAAAAATATTCCTCCCTTAAATCCTCAAAAAGTCAAAAAAGAAAGTTTATTTAGGGACGGAGGGAGTAATTCTTTTTTTGAGACAGGTCATACATAATATCATCTACATATATGAATTTCATTTGAAATTTCATTTTCTTGGTAAATAATAGTGAGTTTTTTAATTGATTAATCATTTAGTTATTCACAATCACACCTCACTTCAAATGTTTTTGTTGTTGATATACAAGCTAAGGGGCCGGTCTTGTAATGAAAACAATAAGAAAAATCATGTGCGAGAACATGTTTTATACTCCGTATATACTAGGTTACGTTTTACTATGTGTGGTGCTGGTGCATGATGAACAAGCCACACAGATCTTTTTTTGTTGCATGACGAACGAGTTTGAGGTTACGTTTGTTGAGTTTTTTCGGTAGAGAGTTGGCGATTGGAACGAGGACAAAATGTTTCTTTTTTTTTTCTCTTTTTGGACCGCTTTCTGCTTCTTTATCGCTTTTCATGTTCTCAATCTCTAGAAAAAATAAAAAAAATGCAACTTCCCGCTCTTGAATCATGCACATGATTTTTTTGAGAGAGAGATTGGACTTTTTTTAGAGAGAAAGAGGATAATGGACGGTGGCTGTTAGGCACTCTCGTCGAGATCGGTCGGTGACACCATGATGTCAGACGATCGACCACCGTGAAGGTGTGAACAGAGACTGGCAATTGCTTGGTTGGGAAAAGAAGGGATAGGCTTTTGACAACTTTAGCTCCCATACCATGATACAATTTGATAATAATTGATCTTACTCAATAATGAAGGATACATCTCTATACATAAGAGTTACAAGAGAAAATTCTAATCTAAGTAGGAGAAGAGTTATAGTAACAATTAATACAATAAATAATGTAGATAAAAATAATGCAACAATCAAAATTAAAGTGGCCAAAATTTTACGTCGATAAAAAGCATTTCCAAATGCAACCATTGTGACAAAATAAAGAAAAGGGAGTTTGATGAATGGTTGCCTGCAGTGGTTTAAAGGTCACTGTTTACAACAACTGAAAATAATGGAGTGTATGGACCATTGAATGAGTGTGACCACATTGAATCCAACTTAGCATTAGCAGTTCACCAACGCATTTAATTACCCAACCCCCACAAGGCCACGTACGGTTCTACCTCATTCGGTCCGGTCTGGACCGGTCCAAGTAGGCTTAGCTTGATTGGGCCGACCAAATCGTTGAGAAAAAATGAAGTCGGCCCTGATGAATATTAATTTACTGAAATATAAGAACGACATGGTTTAATTTAGATTATTGAAATCTTGAGAGAGGCGAAAGTCTATGTTGCACTTTGAATATCGTGAAACCCTAACTAGGAAAGAGTGGATGCAGTTATATTTTTTTCTGGATCGACCAATGACATAAATCATGAAACATGATTATCTCGGGCCCAATTATAATCCTTTAGATACGCCTCGCTTTTGGGTCGTAGTACTCCCTAGCCCATATCACATGGGCCTCTGCTTCGCTTTCGACCGAGGCTACCGCATGCCTTCTCATGCGAAATTTTGCTTGCGATGACCACATGGCCCGAATCTTGGGCCAAAGTATTGCATCATCTAATATCGAACTCTTCAAAAATTACATGAATTTACTAGGTATACCCGACTGACTCTCAACCCATCACGTCATATCTAATTTTAGTGTTTTGGAGATTAATATTAAATCTAAAAATTTGCTTATACCCTTATAGCAAGTGGACATATGTCATGGGGTTTCATGAGTTTACCTTTTTTGCACCCCATTTTGGTGAATGAAAAAATAAAAAAAACAAATGTTTTGTTGATACACATACAATGAAAGACAGGACCAAAAGGGAAAGTGTATATTTAGGCTAATTGGTTGCAAATCCACATCCTCATATTCTAAAGTAATACTCTATTATGACTATGTACGTTCCATCCATCTTTTTGGCTTGTTTGATTAAAAAACACATCTTCCCAAATTAAACCTTTCAGTTGTGACGTACTCTCTCACCTCGGTCGAGAAGTTCAATTGTCTTGATTGATACTTTTAACCTAAATTTAGTATTCCCTCCGTTCGGAAATGTTCTTCCCGTATTGACTTGACACGCTTATTAAGAAATAGTAAAAAAATGCACAATTTTCAAAAATGCACACACTATTAATTTTTAAATCTCCTTTTATTATTAAAAAAGTATTACAAAAGTAGATTTGTGATAAAATAGAAGGGTATTATTGATATTTAGCCTTAAAAAGCATACTAAAAAGGAAATGGAAAGAATATTTCCGGACGGACCAAAAAGGAAAATGGGAAGAATATTTCCGGACGGAGGGAGTACTAATATAATACTTTCTCTGTCTCAATTTCTAGTTTTGACTTTTTTAAAAAAGGATGAGCTCCATTTCGATGACCCCTTCACACTCTGTTGGACGGTCACTGAGAAGATGTGGGTTTGACTTTTAAAGGATGTAAAGGAAGTGTATTTTGGATGTTGACTTCTTCTCTATCCGATACGATTCCTATATTCGTACCAATTTGTCACTTGTCTTAATTTAAAACTTTGATATGGTTCGTGGCCCAATACACGCATTACGCGGGTGTAATGCCCTCTTTTCTTCCAATTGAACATCGTCATTTTTGTGGTGTGAACATGATGGAGTATATCATAGTATAATCTACTCCGTATTTATTTTATAAATCAGAGTTAAAGTTTATAGACTTTGAGTAAGAAAAGTCAAATATGAAGAAAATTTATGCACTATATAGTCACATTACCCTTTGTATGATTGGTGATTTAGGTAAAGCTGCGTTTATTGGCTATAATGGCGGTCTGCAACCAAATGAGGTCAAGCATTATTATTGAATTGAAGAAGAAGATGATGATGATGAGGCATGATGAATTGAAGATGCCATGCATGCATTCATTTTAAATCATCATATCATTGGTCGGTCTACGCACTATTCTAATGCAAAGTCAACAGGGGCGGACCGGAGCAGAGTCTGGGTGGGCACCTGGCCTGGCCCACGATTTGAAGGGGCCCAATTCTTTTAAATTTTTCATAACTAAAAAAAACTAAAATTATGATATGTATTTTTAATGATATGATCGCTTTTGTTAGGTTTATTACGAAGTACACCACTTTTATTGCTATTTAAAAAATTAATTTACACGTAGTATACATAATTTAATTAGAAATCACCCTAAATAGGACTAAAACATAGTATAAAGTACCAAAATAGAAATTTCATGTCTTTTTTCCCGAAACAGAACTTTGCATTGTGGTAATGTGACATTGCCATATTGTAATGTGACAGTGTACATGTGCAAATTACTATACGTTTTTTGTAATGTATATGACTATGTATGGTAATGTAAGTCCTCACTACGTCAAAAACAGATGCTGACAACTGTTTCTTTTAGTAGTCTCACGGTGCTGATTTTAGTAGTCTTCCGAGCAGCTGTCTGATATATTTACAGACTATTGTTTAAAAACAATTGTGTAAAATGGTTGACGATACTTGTTTTGTAATGTTTTAGAGTATGACTTTTTAGTGTTGTCCTTGTATGAGTAAGACATCTGTTTTTTAGAGTTAAAGAGAACTGTGATATTTTGTTGTCTATCTATAATGAATACTACTGTTGTTTTTAACTTTAGACTCCTAATTCTTGGTGTTGTCGTTCAACAATATAGACATCTACTTTAAAAAGTAATTGAAAAATAAAAACATGAAAGTCCTATTTTGGTATATTTTCAAAGTTTTAGTCCTACTTTAATTTTTCTCCCTAATTTAATTTGTTAAGTTTATGATGATATTTTTTTCGTTTCTCCTTTCGAACTCTCGAATCTTTACTACCGTCTCAAAAAATCAAGGGAAAGAAATCAAAGAATTGAATGAAAATTGGCTCTAAATATATATTTCCCTCATCCACTATAGATCTTTTCAAATGCTCTTTTTATTTATCCGAAAAATATTTTTAACATTACATTTTTTAGTAATTAAAATTCCAAAATTATCCCTTACTTATTTTATTTATTACACCTCATCACTTCATTTAATATGCAAAACATGTACATCTTTAATTTGATTCATTCATGACTCGTTATCGCGAGGCGGGAGTATCAATTTCACATTAAAATATTGGAGTTTTAGTCAATCAATTTTTTATTATTTTTTTGGTAGATCTTATTTCCATCAATTTCACATTAAATATATTGGAGTATTTGTTCAAAATATA